CCAGCAGCCCCTCCTGTCCCCCCCCATGGCACTACAGGTACAGCCCCCCATGAACGCCTCGCCTCCCGGGCAGCAGGTAGGTGCTCACAACCACACCATTTCTCTCTTCCCATTGGATCTGGTGGTTTCTGGATGGTTTGAGGATCTCGGGTGTTCTGGCTCCATCAGCTTGCAGATCTCATCGTTTAGGGGTGTTGTTTTCAAGGGTGTTGAGCTGGGACCATGAGCACCCCCGTAAATGGGCAGATTTGTGCAACCACAGCAGCAGAATCATAGAATTCAATCAATGAAAGCTCCTTCAGTGGGAAAGCTGCTGGAATTAGGAATGCCCCTGGTCAAAGCTCTTTGTCCCCCAGCCCTGTCTGGGGGGGTTTCACTGATGGTCATCTGAAATTATGGGTTGGATAGTCAGTGACAAATCCCTTTCATGATACTGCTGAGAGAAGCCCTGCTCTTATCCCACGGCTGGAAGACCATGGGATAATAGCAGGGATCCAGGGGGGTTGCCAGGCAGAGGACAAAAAGGATAGAGGGAATGTCGCAAACAAAACATAAAATCATTGTTTTTCCAGAAACTGCCTGGAAAATAGGAGAAACTCACTTCGGGGTCAGAGAGCAGAGAGCATGTGATGTGTGCTTGTGTGTATGCTTATACCAACGGTGCAGCAGCACAGCAAACCCTATAGACTGCTGCTGTGAACATGGCAAACCATCCTCAGCCATGTCCTGCTCAACCCTGGAACCAGCCTGCAGGGTCCAACCTCTCCTCTTCAAACTGCTGTTAAGAAAGTGCACCTGGAGAAAGAGCTGGCTATAGCAAAACCCCTTTCGTATACCTTATAGAGAACTTGCCAATATCCAAAGGAAGAGATGAATAGCTTCCAGAGTTTCTCCATGTGGAATATGAACTGGACAAACTACTCGCAGTGGAGGACATATGCTCTGAATTCACAGCTGCTACCATTTACTTGATGATACTTTAAATGGCAGTATTCACCCAGCTGGCTGCATAATTTGTGTTTCACATGCTCGCTAGCTATATATCACACAACTCATATAGTTCTTTAGCAATGAGCAAAGCTTTCTTTCCTATAATGTGGCCTATTCAGACTGGGGCTAACTTTGAGGAAAGAGGCATAGTTAATTTAGGAACAGTGGAAGAAAACCAAAGGAGAGCAGGGATGGGGAAGCACAGTTATACCTGACCATAATAAAAAGACAGCACACGAGGGAAGGTCAGATCCTTCAGCAGATTTTAATTCCCAGCCTGCTCAGAGCATTCCAAGTAACCTCTTCAGCACAGTGATTGGGCTTTAGCTCTACATAAGCAAAGGTGGTTTCTGTTATTCAGTGATAGCCTCTGCCCAGAAATGAGCATAAAAGGGGATTGTCATAATAACTGAAATTGGGGTAGTTGTGGCTCAGGGCAGCATTTGTGAAGCTTCTTTCCACATAAACTTGTGAATAACAAACAAAAAGCAAAAAGAAAATACCCCACATTGCCCTAATTTGGATATTTTGGAGAAAATCATGTTCTTGGCCCGGTAACTACCATGACCCTTGTTTATACACATTGCCCTAATGTTAGCTAGTTAAGCCAACCCCCAAAACCAGGAAAGCTGATCAGCTTTCAGCTAAAATAGCCCCACAGCATCCTTGTTCATTTGCTGGCAGTGACAGCTGATGGAGAGAGCTGCTGGTGTGGATGTTCCTTACCTTGTTACTGTACATTATGATGGGCTGACGTGTTACTGCAAAGGGAGCTGCACTTGAAGTGGAAAACCAGTTCTGATTGCCAGGCTGCTGATGCAAAGGCTGTCACGGGCTGTGTGTCATCCGCAGCCATTCGCCACCCCCTGAGGAGGGAGGTGCTGAGAAACAAGAGCAGGGAAGAAGGATGGAAACCAGATGTTGCTGTGTTGACACCTGCATGCAACAACTCACGTTCTGCAAGGTCCCACCACGGTGGTGTCGGGTCCTGGGCTTGGACCTCCTGCTGCCGCTGGGGCTGCTGCAGTCGGGGGGCAATGCATGTAAATGAGTTTGTGTGACAGGATGAGATCTGCTGCTTCTCCTGCTGTCTGTGCTGCTATAACCCTTCCTTTCACCCTACAGGACTTCTCACATATTTCGTCTGAGTTTCAAAACAGTGTTGGACCCCGTTCGCCTGGTGCATCAAACCCTCCCGGGAGCACTGAGTGGGACAACGACTACCCCAGCAGAGAGTGTGGGATTAACCACTGCAGGCCAGTACACAGAATGGCACATTGCTAATGCACCTTCTCTAACCTGAACTCTGATAGTGTACAACACTGAGTCTGCTCGAAAACATACAGCAAGCTGATCAGCTGATTATGGTCAATGAAGTTCAAGGTTTTCTCTTCCCTATAGGCTCACTGAAGTGATGCTATGGAAGCAGGTAGCTTAAAAGTCATAGATAATTCTTCACTGGGCATGAAGAGGTTTCCTTTCTTTTCTTGTGTGTTAAGCAACAGAGGAGTTGGACACTCCTTCTAGAGCAGGACGGGGAAGCCCAGACTTCCAAGCAGAGTCACTGGAGGTTTGAAGGTGGCCATGTCCATCAGCAATGTCCTTCTTCCCAGAGTGATTGTTCCTGTCACTGAGGCCACTACTTCCCAAAGCTGTATCTAACCCTTATTGGTTCGCCATCAAAGCGTCATCCCCACAAGAGCCACACGATGCTCCAGTACTCGGCGCCTTGCACAAAAAGGTCACAGAATCTGCACAGATCCTCCCTGTTATGCTCTACAAGCTCTGGCATGAATGTGTCAGCACGAAGGTCCCTTCAATGCTGCTTCAATTCCCCAGTAAATAAAAACATCAGGATAGGCTCAAAGCTGGGGAACAGGGAGGGTGTGAGAGCCATTCCCAGCCTCTGAGTAATCCACTGCTCTTGGCTCAGCAGTGCTGGTTTGGAGACTGCTATTGTGCTCTGTAAAACAGACACGTGGTTTGTGGGGAGAGCAGGTAGGGAAGGAAGCTCGGTAGCTTCTGAGTATTGTTTGATTTGCTTGAAGTCCTGGAACATGGGGCTTTCAGTGGAGATAATAGCAAGCTCCCAGCCTTTTCAGAGCACAGCTCCTGTCGGTGCCAGCAGCGCACTTACAATTGCTGCGCTGGGCACAGACTGTACAGACATTTATTTCTATCAGGGAAATAAATAACTTGCTGAGCCATTAGGATGTCTCTGCTGTCTGTCTGCCCGAGGGGGCTCAGCTATGTCTGTGCTCCCAGATCCTGCCTGAATTTTCTGCAGACAACCCGAAAGAAGGAACCTGTTTGGGACGCGATGATAAAAATGACTTTAGATGCTGTGGGCAAATTGCTAAAGATGCTTGGAGGGTCATGGCACATGTCCCTCATCATTGCAGGGGGGTTGGATTAGATGACCTTTGAAGGTTCCTTCCAACCCAAACTCTTCCATGATTCTATTCTACGATCCCAGTTTCCAGAGGTGCTGAGTAGAGGCAGCTCCAACTGAAACTATCCCTCCCTGATAATAAGCATCACTTCTTAGGGGATCACCTGGGAAAAGACTTGATTCCCTTTGCAAATCCCACTGCCCAGGCCCCATGCAGAGAAATTGGGGTACTCTAGAGATGGGTGAAATGCTCCTGCAGTAGCCAGGATGGAGGTTTGTGTTGCTAAAACAAGCTCTGTGCCATCTGGCTGGAGTACAGCATTGTGAGCCGAGGGCCCATGCAATTCATGATCAAAGCTCATGCATTTCATGCCTTTGTCACAGCAGAAATATTGAATTTCATGGGTTTATCGCAGCTTCCTGGAAAAAAAAAATCATTCTAAACCCAGACAGATTATGCAGAGACTTCCAGATAATTATTAAAGTAGATTATAGCAATGAACTTAGATGGATATAGATCAGTACTGCAGAGAGTGATTAGTGCACCAGAAACTGTCATAGTCTCTGCTAAGGAGGGACCCGTCTCCTGTGACAAAGAGACACAGGAGCTGCTGGCAGCCCTGCTCCCAAAACTACCTTGTTCTCATTTTATTGCAAAGCCTGGTGCATCAGCAGTGAAACCACCTCCTGCTCCTGCTGCCCGGGTATTTGCTGCCCAAGTGCAAGCGCTGCATTGCTTGTAGTATCCACACACATATGTAGGACTGCAGCCCTGGGGTGCCTCAAGGTCAGACTCGTGTCAAGAAAAGAGATCATAGAATCACAGACTGGTTTGCATTGGAAGGGACCTCAAAGCTCATCCAGCTCCAACCCCTGCCACGGGCAGGGACACCTTCCACTAGAGCAGGTTGCTCCAAGCCCCTGTGTCCAACCTGGCCTTGAACACTGCCAGGGATGGGGCAGCCACAGCTTCTCTGGGCACCTTGTGCCAGCGCCTCAGCACCCTCACAGGGAAGAATTGTTTCCTAATATCTAATCTCAATCTCCTCTCCATCAGTTTAAAGCCATCAGATGATCTGGTTCTCGTCATCTTCCTGGCTGCTTTCTCCCATGTACTGTGCACTAATTTCCAAGCGATATTCCTTGTTCCCCTTGGGCTCCTCGGCAGCACCGTGCAGGGTGAGCTGTGTGCCTGAACAGCCCCAGCAATCAGCAGCACTTAGGCAAAGCAGTGATAAAGGGAAGGGAGATCTTGTTGGGTTTGATTCATCAGTGCAGTTTGAGGTATAATCGGGAAGTCTCTGGATCATGTAATTGCCCATTTCAACCTCAAAACTGCATTCAGCTTAATTGCAATTAAAGCAGCACTGTGAGGAGCAAAATCAGCAACTGCCTGCAAAGAAAAAGGGTTATTTTCTGTTGTGATGTGGCTCAGCTGTAGCGTCCCTGTGTGGAAGGATCATGCCAGCCTCCCCAGCACACAGTCCTGCTTTGCTCTCTGGGTTTTTGTATCATAGGATCATAGAATCATGTCTCACCTTGATCCTTCTTTAGCCTCCAACATGTGCTGGCGCAGGGTTACGTGGGGTAAAACCTCCCAGTCCCACATTTTCTTTTGTGTTTGTCATCCAGACAACTTCTGAGAAGCTGAGGTTGTCTTTCTCGCTGTACTTCTCCATCTAATAAGGGAACTGCTGTGGGGATTTTTTTTTCCCAGACTATCAATGCTAGTTAAAATGCCATTAAATGACACTTCTTCCATTATACCTCTCAAATCCTAGGATCCTACGAGCAGGCAGTCCTTAACTCATAAATCAGCCATGTTAGAGAGAGAGTTTTAAATGTTTCTTAGCTCATGCTCTCCCCATTCTTAATGATTTTGTGCTTACTGACTTCCATCCAATTTTCCTAGCTCTTTCTGGGCTTAAGCCCAAGCTGTCCTAGATTGCTAGCAAAGACCTGGGCAGCATTTCTCAGTTCCTGCTTAGTATATGACTATCACTGCTCACAAGCAACTGCAGCATATAGTTTTATTGCTTTTTGCCATCATATCACAAAGTGCTTATGTAGTTCCTTGTCTCCCTCACCTGACAGCTGTGTTCTAACGCTTGCTCTTTCCCAGGCACCTACTGAATCCTAGTGACTTCCTCCATGGAAACTCACCTGGATGGAGGGTGCAGCTTGGTTTACAGTCACTTCAAATCTTTCTTAATTCCTCAAGGCACCTTGCTTGGTTTTTCTGCGTGTTTTGTGATTACAGCTCTTTCCATACCAAACTTCGGGGTTTCTTTAGGTTTGTCTCCAAGCATTTAAGTATTTTGGTGATAACACTAAACTGGATTCATCTATGCCCTTCCTCTCATTTGCAAGGCATCGTTTCTTTTCTCCCCTCTTCCCACTCTCCTTCAGGCTAAAAGATGGGAAAGTCTCAGCTACGTCTTGTCCAGACAAACAAAACCATGTACAGCTCCTTCAGCCAGATGTTTATAACCTCAGTAATTCCAGCTGACAATGAAGTGACCCTCTCCAAATGGGGGCATTTTCCGAATCAAGACCTAAATGAGCAAACACTGTAGAAAGGCAAGGATAAACCATTACCAGTGCACTTCGTTTGGATTCAATTATTTATGGTAATACTTTGTAATGAACTGGGAAATGTTCTGTAGCATATTTTGTAAAATTAATGAAGTTTTAGTGCTGGAATACTTCGCTGCTGCTCAGTGGCATTAAATCTTTGCTGAGTGCAGTAGGGGAGACTCTGCATTTTGAATGCAGATTGTAAAATGTGGAGATTAGCAAAGTGCAGACTCCTCTGTGCTCTATCAGAAGACAGCTCTATCAACAACAGCATTACCTTGCTGCCTGCTATTCCCCTATTATTCCACTCATAAGCACACACATGCAGGAACCTCCCAAAGCTTTGTGATGTTCTTCACCACCTTTTAAGGCCAAGATGTTTATGGAGCCAATGGTGTTTCCATCAGGTTTGCGTAGATGTTAAAACCCACTAAAATCCCTGGGTTTCAGAGCAAAACCTATATAGGATACAAGACAGGGGGGAAGAACTTCAGCCACTCCCTCTCCCTACTGTATCATGAATAAAAGAGCATCTGGGCTCCCTCGTGGGACCCTGCTGATGGCAAGTTAAACATGCCAGCCAGCCCCCATGGAGGGTTGAAGCATGGGGTACTACAGGCAGGAAGGGAGTGGTGATACCTGTCTGTAAAGCCAAGGGGAGTCTCGGTGCTGTAAGCTGGCTTCCCCCTCAGCACACACCTGGACCTCTTCAAATCAAAGGCATTGCTTCAATAACATGGTCAATTCAAGTATCTGGAGGGCCAGGGATGTGCAGAGCACACAGCCTGGCTGCTGTCCCACCAGCCCTCCTCCATAGCCTCCTGTGAGTAAGGCAACACCGAGTCTTGCTTGGGTTCCCTGTACCTCTTGCTATCTTCATCAGGCCCATGGAAAAGACCAGCTAATCCTGCTGTCTCAAAGGTATTTCTTCCCCTCATTTCCTGATTATTAATTTTCTTATTTTGGGAGGGAGAGGAGGAAAGATGCATCGAGCAGATGATGTCCCCTATTGCCATGCTCTTCAGCCATGAAATTATGTTTCATCCTCCTGGACATCCACAAGCATCTTCAGGCATAAGCCTCTCAACTGTAGTGTTGAGACCCCCTATTCTTTTGTCCAAAAGCAAGAGTCTGTTTTCTAAATAACCATGGCTTAGACTAAGGACAGTGTGTGATGAAGAAGGGGAGTGGTGGCCAAGGGGCTGATTCCGGGCACAGCTCTCCACAGCACAGTAGTGGAGCTGATACCAGCATCACATTGGTGTGCTCTACAGGGAAATCCAGGCTTGGCCCTCCCCTGCAGCTCCAGCAAAAGCAAAAATTACACCACAGGAAGGAATTTATGTCTTAGCCCTTATTGTTGAAATTCAGGAAGAACTAAAATTGCTCCAGGCTCATATTCATGCCCTTTGACAAGGGCTTGTAGGGACAGGCCAAGGGGAATGGCTTTAAGCTGCCAGAGGGGAGACTGAGATGAGCTCTGAGGCAGAAGCTCTTCCCTGTGAGGGTGCTGAGGCGCTGGCACAGGGTGCCCAGAGAAGCTGTGGCTGCCCCATCCCTGGCAGTGTTCAAGGCCAAGTTGGACACAGGGGCTTGGAGCAACCTGCTCTAGTGGAAGGTGTCCCTGCCCGTGGCAGGGGGTTGGAACTGGATGAGCTTTAAGGACCCTTCCCACACAAACCAGGCTGAGATTCTATGATTCAAGTGCCTTCTGCTTGGTCCACCTGTGCACACCCATCCTTTGGTGCAGATCACTTTATGTTTGGAAACATGGAGTGCCATAAAACACTAATCTCAGCTCCCCTGGGCGACTTCCCAGCTGTTTCCCTGCACATCTCACCTTCTCCCTCTGGTTTCTCCTACAGCATGCTGCCAAGGGACAAGGCACTCTACCTCACCTAAAACTCAACATCCCTTTCGAGGAGGCTCAGACGAAGGACACTTGAGAGGGTCTATCTTACAGACTACCCGGAGAGGCACCGAGCAAGTCTTACGGACGAGAGAGCTCCCACTGCACCTCGTCGCTGGCTTCGTTCCCAAGCTCTAAGAGCAGTTTTCTTCTCTTATTTTTGAACTCTAAACTCTACTTTCTGTGGAAGCCCGAAACCTCATAAATCATGGAGAACAAAAAAGAAAAAATAATAAAAAAAATTAAAATAAATAGACATAAAACCAACAAAAAAAATAAGCTAAGGACACCTTTTTCTGCTTGCCATCAGCTTAGCTACAGACTATTTTCCTAGTGAACTGCTTTTAGACGCAGCATAAGCCCAGGTCTGGTGTCCTGCAACATTAGGCCAGCTCAGTAGGAGGATGCACTCTTTTGACTTGCTAACAGCACTAAACTTTGTGCAAGAAAATGTGAAGTTTGTGTGAATATTGTACATGCAAAGGCCTTGGATGTCTGGCGAAAAAAAAATTCAAAAATTAAATAAAAACTATTGCTAGGTAGGTGGGGAGAGAGGAGAAGGCAAAATAAGAGAGAGATGTGAAAAAGATCATGAAAATATAATTTGTTGGATAGTTGTAAGTAGTTTACTAAGTGTTTTAGAGCTGTGCTAAAGACATCTTTAAGATTTTTTTGTGAAAAGAATTAGTAGTTTACTTTATAGTAAAAGCATTTTATATTAATTGTAGCACATTTTTTTAGTTATACATAGAGGGAGATGTGTATAAAAGAAAAAACCAACAAAAAAAAGCCTGCCAAACTTGTTTCTATTATTTGTACAGCAAGAAATGGACAATTTATATCCATGTTGTATGGCATTATTCTATTTTTTCTGCCATCTGTCCATCTATTTAAAAATTGCTGACAATGATTTTTGTCTATTTATGAAAGATTAGAGCATAATCACAGTTTCTCATCAGGTGCATTTTGGGGTTGTTTTTTACTTTTTATTTCGTTGGATGGTGCTGCTTTCGCAGCACTGGCACATTCAGTTCACAATGCTTCTCTTACCTTTCTTTATAATAAAACATATGAAAAGTAGAGCTGAACCAGTCTCTCCTTATTCTGGAAACATCCCTGCCTTGGCCTTGTCCTCCTCAGCTTCCCCTCTTGCTCTGGGCCAATACTACTTAATGAAATACTCTGGGCAACCTGATGGAGTTGAAGACGTCCCTGCTCATTGCAGGGGTTGGACTAGATGAGCTTTGAAGGTCCCTACCAACCCAAACCATATCTATGATTCTGTGATCTGTGGCCACCCACAGCGTTGGAAGCTGTCGCTGAGCAATGGCAGACAGCTTTTTTCCTTCATTTTCTTGCAAAATGCCAGCTCTACGCTCAGCAGTGGGGACTTTCCTTTCTTAAGCTTAACTTGGTGCCCTATGCATTTGTTGACTGTTGTGGTTGAACCCCAGCTGGACACTAAGTACCAGGCAGTTGCTGCTAAGAACAGTTTAATAATGGAAATAAAATATTATAGCAATAACAATAATAGTAACAATGAAAATAATAATAATTGTCATGAAAAGGGAGGCAACAAAAACAGAGGAATAAAACTCAATAAATACAAGTGCTGCACAATACAATTGTTCACCACACACTGTCTGATGCCCAGCCTGTGCCCAAGCAGCAAGTGGGGGCTCCTGGCCAACTCCCTCCCAGTTTCTATACTGGGCATAATGAGCTGTGGTGTGGAATATCCTTTTGGACAGTTTGGGTCAGGTTCCTGGCTCTGCTTCCTCGGCGCTTCTTGTGCCCCTCTCATGGCAGAGCACGAGACCGAAAAGTCCTTGATGAGGTTAAGTGATACTGAGCAACAACTAGAACATTGGTGAGTTACCTGCATTGTTCTCAGACTAAAGCCCAAACACAGCACTGCACCAGCTACTAGGAAGAGAATTAACTCCATCCCAGCCAGAAGCAGGGTACTTACAAAGCTATCCCATACCCCAGTCCTATCAACTCTCTGCCTTTCTGCCAACCCTTGAGCAGACAGAAAATATCCTCACGGACATGAGGGTCACCAAGCTGCCTGGTGCCTGCTGACAGATGCCCACAAGAGCTCCATTGCCATTTCCTAAGAAACATGGATGAGGAGGACACGAAAAGGATGGAAAATTCAAATGGCATAAGGACTGAATTGGCATTTCCATCCTTCCACAGCATGCATGGAAAATGCAAATGGCATAAAAAATTACCCGATGTGAGATCTCACACTGTGGGCCAACTGCCAGGAGGAAACCTGTTCATTAATGTACCATTTTAAGCCCATTTGTAGACGCAGCTTGTCCGTAGGAGTCTCACCACATTGTGTCACTAGCACACGAGTTACTGTCATTTAGAGACGGACCAATTTCTTCCAGTCTGCATTTAAATGGAAGTGTGGAGCTGGAGCATGGCTGTTTCTCATGCAACTTAGGGCACTGGGTCTTGTTTAGGTCCAAATGCCACAGCTAAGATCCTGTTTTTCCCCACTGCTACCCATCTATGATGAAAGTGACCTTAACATCTATGTTGTCCAGTGACTTTAAATAACTTTTTTAAGCCTTCAGACCACAGCAGTAAACCAGGAAGAGCTCCTTCAGAGTTAAGGGGGTTTTTTATGAGGAAAATGGTCATTTTCATCTCTTAATGGTCTTACATATGCTACAAAAGCTTACTGTCATGACCTGTGCCTATTGCAGAAAGTGCCCATTACAACACCAAGCTACGGCAAGAAACATGGTGGTAGTTGTCCTGCTGTGCCCTCTGGTAGCTACTTGCTGCAGCAGCATCCCACACATCCTGCTGGCACATCAAACAAAAACCACCCCAAAATCCCACCCAGCAGCTGCCTGCTTTGGATGGTGAAAAGAGGAAGACCTTCGGAGATGGAGGGGTGGTTTGGGGCATGATGAGTTTGGACCAGCAGTCCCCAGCAGACCATCTTTGATGCCGGGAGAGGTGGCAATAATGGCACCATGGCAAGGGATGGCAAGTCCCTGGAGCTGCAGGATCCTGAAGAAATCCAGCAGGTTGCAAGTTCCTCCTGCAATCAGCCTGACATAAAATCCATGTTCTCCTCTGTTTCTGAGGCCATCGCTGGGTTATTGCGAGGTGACTGAGTAGCAGTGCTCTCTGCTGAGACCATTTGCTTTCTCGGCATGAGAGGGAGATGTGAAATCAAGATGCAACTCTGTGAATCAACTTTCATTACAGCAGTTACACTTTTAACCCCAAGCTTCCTTCTCTCTGCAAGTATAAACAGAACAAGTGCCTGTTCCTTGTCCCATTGACCATGGTGGCTCTGTATTTTATTGTGGAGATGGGCAAGTGAGAAGAGCTGCTGGGTAAAGGTGTAAATGTGGTACTCTTCCTCGCTGGTGGCCAGCTCAAGGCCATGAAAATCCCCTTTTATCTTTGTAATCTTAAACTATTTGAAAATACAACATGGAGCATAAAAGAACTTCCTGAAGAGCAGCATAAGCAACGACACAGCAGCCCAGCATGACTGGCTTGTGCTGAGCACATAATTACTCGGCAATATCAGAGCCAGAAGGTTTCTTCTAAATACTCAATTATTAAAATAGGGGGGGAAATAGGATGTTAAGATGAAAACCTACCTTGAGTTATCACAGCAAGGAGATAGGACTTACTCCAGGGACAGTTTCTGAAATGTTAATCTACTTTTCTGTATGTAGCAGGTAAGTGTCCTTGAGACTCTGTACTCATGGGGATGAGATTTCCAGCCCTGGGAGGAGGTCTGGAAGCGCTGCATTACTCCAAGCCCCTGTGCTTTATCTTTTCCTGAGGCAGGTGCCCATCCACAAGGCCCAACAGCACCATCTTTGTGTCACTATGACAGTGGTTTTGAAGTTGTTTAAAAGCCTCTGCTGAGAAGGTCTCCTTTGTTGGTGGGGCCACAGTGCAGGGAGCCGTTGAAAGATGACGTTGCCAGTTCAGGATTAACTGTGCAAAGCAATAACCACACTTTTAAGGACTTTCTAGCCAACCCACCCTCATTTCTGCAGGGCTGCCTCTGCTTATCAGCAGGCAGGTGATGGCAAAGGGCTGCTGTGGAGCAGCTGTGCTGGGCACAGCATCCCATCTCCAGCCACATCCATGTGGGAGCCATCCCAGGGGTGCAGGGCAGTTGGCTATTATAGAGCCCAGAGCACGAATAATAAATTGTGAGACTTTCCAGACCACTTTAATCCCTACTAATCTCTAAATTTGCATGATGGCAGCTGTGCTTAAATGGTATTCCAGCTGTTGGCTAATTGCTGTGGGCCTGGAATTGCTCCAGGGAAGCCACTGGGAGCCAAGCGTCCATCCACCATCACAGCAGGCTCACAAAATACATCCAGTCTCCACTAACAGGCTCAGCCGCAGTAAAGGTGAGCACCCAGGGGCAATGGGCTAGTGATGGCCTGGCCAGGTGAGCCTCTCCTTGGTCTGAACCTGGGCTGTTATTAACATCAGTAGAAAGTGTGGCAGCTGGGTCTCAGGAAGCCATTTGATTGCCCCTGACACCTCAGGGCAGGGTCAGCTTATCCTAAACCCTGCCTGTGTTCCTCACCTCCCTTTAAAAACCTTTATATTCCAGGCAGATAACTTAAATCTCTCTCCCTACAAAGCAAATCCCTTGCTTTTGAACACAGGAAAGAAGTTATTGCTTTCCTTGTTGTGGTAACGTTTCCCATATTTGAAGAGGATTTTGGCTTCCCCTCCACCTGCCCACGCGCTCGCAATAACAGAGGATGTGTTCCTGGGCTGAGGTGCTCCCACTGTTGGTCAATGAGCACCAACTAGAGCCTCAAAAAGCTCCAAAAGCGCTTTGGGACAGGGACTGGCAAGGCCCAGGCAGAGGCTGGGGTAATGATGGAGGGGGAATCAATAGGCACAGACAGGGAGAGTTGGATAATTGACTTTGGTTTATGAAGACATAATTAGCGGCACTATAGGAGTAATGGGGAGTTTAACAGATCTCATCAGAGGGATCTCAGTGGTGTTAACCCTTCAAGAGCAGGGACTCAGCCCTCTGGACTAGCTGCACAACAAGAATCAAAGGAAAGGACGTTATCTGACAAATTCCAGGTCCCTGACAACTGCAGCACGTGCCAGGAGCAGAAGTCTTGTGCCAGCCCCATGAGGTCCTGGTCCCTCACTGATGGCAGCTTTGCATCTTGGCAAGTGCCCCATGTGAACTTTAAAGGTCACCTTAGGAGCAGTGGCTGATGCATGGTGCCAATGGTGAGAGCATGTGAGAACAGTCCTCACGGTGCTTCTGCTGGAAGAAGAGAGGTCAGATGTAGAGCAAGTCACAGAGTCATAGAATGGTTTGGTTTGAAAGGGCTTGAATTAAAGCTCATCCAGTCCCAACCCCCTGCCCCGGGCAGGGACACCTTCCACTAGAGCAGGTTGCTCCCAGCCCCTGTGTCCAACCTGGCCTTGAACCCTGCCAGGGATGGGGCAGCCACAG